TTGGTAGATACGTGCTCTATATAAGACTCCGATATTATTATTATTGTTATTATAGTACCCATGACACTACAGCAGTGACTCGATCGATGTGGTAGTTTTAAACATTATACTATTGCATAATATAGGGCCCTCCAGCATAATTCTATATATAGTAGTATGAAGCCCGGGAAGGGACAGGGTGGAATTTTTTTTTTGGAGTTAGCTAATTCGTTCGCACGAATTCCTATTTCGTTCGCACGAATTACTATTTCTTTCGCACGAATTACTAATTCGTTCGCACGAATTAGTAATTCGTTCGCACGAATTAGTAATTCGTTCGCACGAATTAGTAATTCGTTCGCACGAATTACTAATTCGTGGGAACGAATTACTAATTCGTGGGAACGAATTCGTTCGCACGAATTACTAGGCCTAATTCGTTCCCACGAATTACTAATTCGTGCGCACGAATTACTAATTCGTTCCCACGAATTGCTAATTCGTTCGCACGAATTAGTATTTCGTGCGAACGAATTTCTAATTCGTGCGAACGAATTAGTAATTCGTGCGAACGAATTAGCAAACTCCAGTAATTCGTTCGCACGAATTAGTAATTCGTTCTAACGAATTACTAATTCGTTCCCACGAATTACTAATTCGTGCGAACGAATGACTAATTCGTGCGAACGAAATGCCAAAAAAAAATTCCACCCTGTCCCTTCCCGGGCTTCATATTCCCACGTATTAGGAAATCGTGGGAACGAAATAGCAATTCGTGCGAACGAATTAGTAATTCGTGGGAACGAGTTAGCAATTCGTGGGAACGAATTAGCAAATTACAAAAAAAGAAATCCACCCTGTCCCTTCCCGGGCTTCCTAACTAATCCCTGTTATCCATTTTACGAACGAAAAACCATAACCTCGAAATTGTATTCCATGTAAAGACACATTTCCGAGGAAGCAATCCTGTTATGTACAGACTTATCTGTAGGTGTATGTATCACAAACAGCTCGTCCTGTCCTTCATTTCCAACAGGGTGACCGTTTTTGCTGATTTTCGGCTGACTTTGACAGAATTTTTGTTGACAGAAAATTTGACAGAATGGATTTTTTGGGCAGATTTCTGGCAGAATTCTGCAAAAATGGTTAGTTGACAGAAAAACAGAAATTTGAACAAAAAAGTGTACATTTGTTTAAAAACGCTTCAATCCTTTCAAAAAAACCCTTGCATAATGGACACGGTTGGCTGGTCTAGGTGCTGAGGTTCACTGGGAAACGGACTTCGTCATGGCCAGATCCGCGTTTTGCCCGAAATTTAGCATTAATTTCACATCTTTATGTGACTAGTAGATTGTTTATTATGTAATTTGAATCTAAAATTAAGGCAATACTACCACTGTACATGTGATTTTATGTGGTTATAGTGTATACTATAACGGTCACCCTGATTTCCAATATCACACGATCGTCCATGTTTCGACGGTGATGCAGCTGTATGCATCATAACCTGTCACAACCTTTTGAAATAGCCAAAGAGAGCACCTCACAGTGAATATATGCAAACAGATCCCCGAGGCCGCTCTTCTCTTTGCTCAATTTGCATCTCAAGCATTTCCTGAAGATGGAGGAAAGGGCTTCCAAAGCACATGTCTGCGTGGAGTCATGGCCTTTTTTCTTTTGTACATGGGATGCCAAAAAAATAAGTTACAAGAATTCGGTAGGGCTGAGGTCGAAGGCCACTATTTTACACTTTGAGATAATCTTAGTGTTTCTAGCCAACGATCTATCCATTGAGAAAAGACGTTGCATTTTATTCACCTGCGCTACAGTCTTGGCAACAATTTCGCAAAAATGTAGTAAATTTTTCAAACTGCAAGGTATTTTAAATCTAAAATATTTTCGGTTCAAATTTTTTCTCAAACATTACTTCTATAAATAATTTGCCAATAAAATTTAAATGAAGTTAAGGATAGATTGGCATAAGATGTGCAGAAAATTTAGAGAAAAGGGTAGGTTGGAAAACGCATAAAGTTTATAATGCTTCAATATTTATTGACGTAATGAGAGACCGAGGGAGCGTTGCAAACCAGAACCAAACAGCAACATGCATGGATATATAAAAATCGCCGACGACCCTGGGAAACTCTACCTCGCCAAATGATCGCCGGCACGCGTCGAGTCGCCGGAGTAGACCCATACAAACGCACGTAAAAATTGATGTCCTCTCAGTTATGTACCGTGAATTTTGATCTTTTTCTCGTCTTGATTGGCAAATAAAAACTATAAATGTCAGATTTTATAAGCCAATCTTATTGAAATGTTTGAAGTAAAGCATAAGTTGAGCTGACTCCTTTTGACGACTTAGCTTTTTTGGACGAATGACGACATACTATCTCTTCTCCGATAGTCTGCAGTCTTGACATCTTACGTGCAGTTGGTTAGAATCGCTCCGTCAACTTTAGGTCCTGCAGAAATTAACCATGTGATTTGAAGAATGACCCGTCCAATGTGAGAATATATAAATCCCCTCTCAGCAGTGGGGGGGGGGGGGGGGGGGATACGTGCCTCCCAGCGGATGTTCGTGGACCCGATTACCCCCCCCCCCCCCCCGTTTAAAATCTTGAAATGAAAATAAACGTATACACTGCACTATTGAAATGTGCGTTCAGTGCCCCCATTGAAACATTTGTGCACCCCAGGTGTCCCTCACAACCCTAGTTACGCTGCAGCCTCTCAGACCGAGGGTAATCTCGCCCTGTATGTCTTATATTGCCGTTTGTGCGGGGTTTTTACACGTACAACACGCAGCCCGAAGGCATTTTCCTAGAAACTTCTAAAACGCAAACATTCAAAGCTTTGAATCTTTGATATTCTGACATGTGAGACAACTTTTTCATACAGATATCTCACTTGATCGGTGTGAAATTATGTCATCTGATTTTGGTCTTAACATCCACGTTCTTAACTGCATGCTATCTCTACTTAATACTTGAGGCGTTATATGCCTATTATTATGCAGAAATAAGTGAAGGTCCGTTTTATCAACTCCAAATATTGCGTTATCTTCTCATCTTCTCCCCCAACCGCTTTCCCCGTTGGCACAATCAGGCTGAGCATGAAAATAGGAAGAGACACAAATGACATCAATCCTTGGGGGGGGGGGGGCAAATATAGTAATTGGATAAACTACCAGTTCAGCCAACTACTTCATTAACAGCAAAGTCTGGATCTTGCTACAGAACCTTGCGTGAAATCTACACGGGTAATATAATCAGCAACGTATGATGTTCACAATAATATTTGCACACACAAACTCTACGTCGCTATAAAGTGACCGAAACGTGTCGGCTTACAAACACGTTTCACAGTACTTATTATTTGCCGCTTTTTGAAGGAATGCATGGTTAATCGAATATTCATAAATACCTCAGACAGTTTAGCCATTCCTATTGGTCGAGAGCCCGTCACGTGGCCGGTCTTAAACGGATGATAAAGACATGGCTAGCTGGTCTTAAACACTTTTCCAGTGTCACATAAAATGTGGACTCCTAAAAATCCAGTGCCTCTTACCGTTTCATTGGTTGAACGTTCACAATCCTCACGTAGGCATGCGCAACACTACTTGTGAGTCCGAATTTTATAGTTCTAAATTCAAAACGCAGAGCCCCAGGTGCGTTCTGCGCGACATCGCGCAGAACGTGCTACGCGCGCGTCAATCTCCATAAAAGGGTTGTTTACATCTTACTCGCCAGCTGAACACTCCATTATTTTGCTAGAGGGATGTTTCAAAAAGCTGGAGTGAACTTGTTGATCAAAATCGGGATTTTTTAAACGAATTACTTGATTTTTTTTTTTTACCGAAAAGGTATTTATGAATGGGAATAAATATGTGCTCGGTCGGTATTAATCACTCTGTTTAAGACTGCTTAGAGCCTGGGTGCTGATAATTACCCTCGCCCAGATTCTAAGCAGTCTTAAACAGAGTGATTAAAACCTCTCGAGCACACATTTATTCCCTTAGCAATGAACAAATTACATTCACGATATATAGTATTTCTATATTTGCACACATACACATGTAGAAAATCTCTGCTTATCATAGCTGCATGGTGGCGGCTTGCTAAGAACAGTTGTCACGTACTATAATGCGTCGTCTTTTCAGTGGATGTAGGTTAAACGAACAGATCATTATGCAATGTGCATTTCAGAATTGTTTATGCATGCATTACTTAACGCAGTCTCCCAATTGGGTCATGTTCAGTTCCAGACGATGCAAAAGATGATCAGGCCAGCTTTACTCACTCTTTAGCCAGCAAATGTCTCCAAAACTTTCAATGGGCAAAGAAAAGTTCCTCAGTATTCCACCAACCAAGTTTGAAGACTCAATTCAATTTTTTAAAGGAGACCGTGATTTCAAAATGAGGCTAAAGACTAGACTTGTACATGTCCATCTATGGTCCAACTGTTTGGCAAGACTGACTTCTTCATTCATTGTCATTAGTCTTGTGCCTGACTACGGAGAAATGTGTAGAAATAGTGACCTCAGTGAGTACCCGACATCCTAGATATTCCCTTTGGCACAGTCAGCTGACACTTGATTGATGCAGTACTGAAGAGTTGTTGGACTGGTTGTTTCAGGTGCCAGTCTATTTTCTTGTATTGCATGTTTTCAGTACCTTAAAGGGACACTCGGTCCTGGAACAGCCCAATTGGGCTACAAAACGCGCTGTGAACGAGATGATGATAATCGGAAATAACATTTCAAAGTAGGATATAAACATCCACACAACTATCCTTTCAAAATTGGGCGTTTTTGTGTTATTCCTGCATTATGCGTGCGAGAACGAATTTCGGGGTCCACTTTTGCGACCCCATAAATTCGAGCTGTTTGGATGCTAGTTGTGATTTCATTCGTACGCGTAAAGTGTTCGCCTTTTGCGGACGTTGAAGAAACCTCATTTTTTTTGCATTGGTGATTGGTCACCGCGCGCTGTTCCCGAGACACACAACGTGTATATAGCGTACATGTACATGAGAACGACATGAAAAACGTATTTGTACTCCGTCATGTCTGATGTAAACAAGCGTGTTTTTTTTTTCGTCTTTTCTCGGGAACGGTAAGACATTAGGTTGGTTTCCTTTCAACCAGATGTTTGAAATAGGCTAAGTAAACAATCCAAAACATAAAATTTTCGGGGATTTCAGGACCTAGTGCCCCTTTAAGTTTTGAGACGCTCATACACAGTATTGAGAATCCCAAATTTTCGGACTAGTTCAGTTCATGATATGTCCCTCTTCTGATTCAATCAAACCACACACTCAAACTTTAACTTGTTCTATTGTCTTATAGTTTGAAATTTTCAGTAATTGTCCCTTGTCATTTATTGTTCAGGTGCACCGTAGCTGGGGCGGGAGTGTTCAACGGATGTGATGTCTTGTGCCTGAATATTTGACGTACGCAACTCATTTTCATTTGGGAGACGTAGGATTGCCCCAAGCTCCAATATGTGTCATTTCGATTTTATCTCATCATTGAGTCATACACTTCTGCGATAACGCATCTTTGTTGAGTGAATATCCCCCATACAGTCAACATTCAACAAGTAGCCCTACATAGGCCTAATACTTTGTCGTTATTAGTTACATTAGACCCCCAGCCAAACATCATGGATGACTGGGAAAGATATCGACTGGTCGTACTAGGAGCCGGCAAAGTGGGCAAAACCTCCATCATCTCGCAGTTTCTTAGCAACAAATTTGACGAGAAATATAAAGAGACTGTTGAAGATCTGCACTGCAGGGAATACAATGTAAATGGACATTGTATTAAAGTGGACATCCTGGACACATCGGGTACCCTTCAATTCCCAGCAATGCGACGCTTATCAATCTCGACGGCTCACGCCTTTCTTCTTGTCTACTCAGTGGATGATCACAATTCCATGCAGGTTGTGCGACAGATTTACGAACAAATTCGCGAGCAACGGGTCAACTTTGATGAACTTCCCATTGTGGTTGTTGGCAACAAAACAGACCGAGCAGAATTCCGTGAGGTAGAAGAAATTGAAATGCATGATTTGATTGTCAGAGAGGCCTGGCACTGCAATTTCCTCGAGGTCTCAGCGATGGAAAATCTAGGAATTCTGGAAATTTTTCAGAAGCTTCTTCAAATGGCGAAAATTCCCGTCGCCAGAGAGCTTAGCCCAGTTCTGAAACGCCGCATGAGCGAGTATGGATACAAACGCCGTAAAGATGGAAGAGGGTCATTTAAGGAGAGTGACAAAGAAATGTCTCGCAGTAGAAGTCTTATGCGACGCACAGGAAGACCGAAAGTCAAGCAGAGTCAAGACCCTACTAAAAGTGACTGTGTGATTTCATAGGTGATTTTGCCTGTAAACTATTCAGTTCCAAATCCGTTAGTCAAGGGCGCAGTCTGGCAGTTTCCTGAGGTTTAGGCATAATGTATACACATTATTTGAATTATGCTCTACGATCCTGTCATCAACATGTGTTCATATTCATTTGAATGGTGTTTGTAAATGTAACGTGGTTTGCTAACCTTTAGGACTGACCTTCCTTCTCTTTTAATTAAGAAGCCTATTACCAATCTGCATAGAATTTGCAAATATTTTGGAGGTTAGTGTGTTGCAGCAGTTTTACGCAGTTTACCATTAACATAAGCTTTTGTATAAATAGAAATGCAATTTTAGATGAGTGTGATTATTGTACTTTAAGTGCGAGCTGGAAATTTGTCAAAAGAATTTTAAAAACCATTGTCTCTTGATCAATTGTATTCAATTCCGGAACAGATAATCATCGAACCAGCATTATGATTTGTAAACTACTGGAAGTGCACAGAAATGTCGTTCTGAAATAACTGAAATAACATTGAAAGCCTTTTTTCCAGGGTTTTTAATGCTTCAGCTGTAAACTATTTATCAATTAGTTTGGGTTTTAAGATACATTCCAATTTGTTTCAAAGCAGTTCAACTTAGACTAGTGTACATTTATTTGTCGTGTACATAATTTACGATGAAGACTCTCTTTTAAGTTTATCTTTTATTTGGTTCGTGTGGCCATCATCAATGCAAATACTCATTGGTCGCTGTCTTTATTTTTGTTAGCCAAATGACGTCACGTTATAAACTGTTGAAAAATAACTGAATATATATGTTTATGGCAGTGGCGTTGTAAAGGGGGCATTGCCCCCCCCCCCCCTCCGCCTGACGTCTGTGCCCTCCTCCCCCAGCTCAGAAATTTGGGATCGAGGCGAAAATGAACTTTTGATTGCAACAAATTGCAAAGAAGACGCTTTGAGTGCCCCTCTACAGAAAAGGAGATAAGAGCCCCACCTCTAGCAAATTGTATTCCATTTACGCCAGAGGTTTAGGGTTTAGATTGAAGAAGCATCAGAAGGCACCAGTCCCCTGGATCCCCCAAATTCGAAACCACGGCCCATTAACTTGGCGCTGCTGAGGACACGATTGTCTGCTATACACAGCAAAGGGGTATATGATGGCATACTTCCACTACCCTGAGACTCCAATCATTATACCAATGCATGGAGAATCTCTTTAGAAGAAAAATGAAACCAACAGCGTCCGATTCGGTCCAGTAGTTTTGTTCTAGAGCCTATTTTGTGAATCAAGGTGGGGTCATTTTTGTCCCGATGAATTTTTAAACCGCGCCCGGAATGTGACTTAGATTTGTAATTGATATAGCGATTGTTATGTAATAATACCCACATGAAAGAATTGTGCTTCACAAAATAGGCTCTGCAGCAAAAACTACTAGACCGAATCGGGAGATTTTGGTATAATTATTCTTCTAAAAGGACTCTTCATCAATTGGTACAGGTGGTTTGACTCTCAAGGTAGTGGAAGTATGCCGTTCCGGTTTTTTCTTCTTTTGGACCACCCTGTATAGTGCGTCGATACCGTGACATACGCTAAAGGTTTGCACAACTTTTCTTCCATAATAGTTAGCATTTATTTTCCACTAACCATTGCGCAGCGCCGTGAAATTGTTAATACCGTTAACATGTTAAGCGCAATTCATTAGAGTAACGTGAGCAGTCCGTCCGTAGGCTGACAATCAAACTTATTCATCAACAAGAAGAAATGTGTTGGCATATAAATCTTGCAGATTTGAATTGATGGTTTATCTTGTTTCGGCACTGGAGGAACCCCCCCCCCACTTTTTCGTGTATAGGGATTCATTCCGATAATACAACTGCTCTTTTTCAAAAAAAAAAAAAAAAGCAGAAATTGCTCTACCCGTGCTATCCAACATATTCGATTTTTTTTTCCACTACCGCATTTTCAAGGAAGGCTATACTCTTGCTATTTTGGGTGCTTTCATTCCTCCACCCTATAGGCTTATTTTGGTTGCTTCTCTTCGCACATAATGCACAATAATGTGCACATTCTTGTCGGGCCGCATATAATTCGAAAGTAGTAAAGCACAAATTCCATTACTTAACGTGGTTGTTCGATGTCTCATTCCAAAGTGAATAACTTTTGTATTGCTAGAAAAATGGCCATTTCAAAACAAAATCTGGTTTTTTTCGGGGTGAAACTCACAAATAGCACGGGAGAGCAACTTGTTGAATTCCATATGATAGAACATGGACTGATATCCAGTTGTAACGAAACACCAATTAGAAATGTTCTTGTCGAAATATATTTTATTTAATTAACTGTTTAATTAAAGAATTAACTATGATTAAAACTCTTCTAACAGTTTGGTTCTATAAAGCTCAGTATAAATGCTGTGCACTGGCACACAAAAATGTAAAAGTTGTGAGACAATGGCTGAAACATTATTTCATAATAATTGTGGTGTATGATGCAGCATGTCTTCGACTTATTTCATTTGAGCTCAGTTGGCTTCATTGAGTGGTCGGGCACAACCCGACCACTCTTTGGATTTGTTGCGATTAATCTTTTTTTTCTTCTTTTTTTTTTCTGCATAGCACGTTTCCGCGGGTTTTCTCCTAAACGGTATATGAAATGAACTTGTAACTTTAAACATATATTGACCCTCACTCAGAGTGGTGCATTTTACACTGACGTCATAATGACGTCATCGGGTGTCAAATTACAAGCGATTTTCGTTGAAAAAAATGACGATCTTCTTTCATCTATAACTCTTCAACAAAATGATCAATTATGCTCCAATCTTGTAAACAGATAGACCATAAATTGATAAACATTTTTTGTCGTGTACGTGAACTCACTTGACCTTTACTTCCGGGTCTACCGGAAGGTCAAAGTTAGGTGAATTCAAAATGAAGACATTAGCCTGAAATCGAAAAAAAGCACAATTTTTTCCAAACGGTTTACGGTATGATCATAAAACCTTGTGTGAACTTGTACCATGTTACGAAGATGTTATAACTGTTGTTACGTCATCATGACGTCATCAGGTATCAAATTACAAGCGATTTGATTGCACGATTTGACAAAATACTTTGACCTATATCTCTTGAACTAAATAGAGTATCGTGTTCGTTTGTTCGTGAGGTTGTAGACTATGCCTTGAGCAACATTTCTTATTCCCGGGCACAAAACTGCTTGACCTTTACTTCCGGTGTTACCGGAAGTGCAAAAGAAACTGAATCTAACTCTAAAACGGAAGCATTTTACTACAGACAAATACATTATGGAAGTGTTAAGTGAGGAATGCCAATCACAAAAACATTATTTTGACGTCAGCCACGAAAGGGCGCCCTCCAGCGGTACATAGAAAACAGTTTAATCTTTTAAAATGTTAAAACCCTCAATCAAATTTTTATGATATATTGCCCCTATAGGCCTATATCCCGTGAGCAACCGCAAATGAATTTGCAAGGTTTCATAATCATTACGTCATCAGACCGGAAGCTACTGTAGGGAGAATTCAACAATAACCATTTTATTTTTAATTTAAATCCATCATTTGATCCCTGTCTCATGACTTTGTTTTTTGCCCCCCAAATATGACATCTGTTTCACTTAATATTGACCATTTGCTTCCAAATACTGTGACATCATCAAACTGGAAGTTAGCTGTTATTATTACATACACTTAATTCCCATATTTTCATGCGTTATTTTTACTTAATGATAAACAAGTGTCCTCCCCTGTTTGACTGATGACGCCATTAAACCGGAAATAACTTGTACGTGTACCCAACTGTTTACTGAAATTTATTACACCTTAAAAGACGCATTCTTTTTGTACAAAATTATTGGTACTGGAAATGTTGAAGTTCTTGGTCCTTTTTTTCTGACATAAACATATTCATAACTTAATTGGACAATGTCTAATGAAATGGTTGTCTACCCGACCACTCTGCGTTTGTAACAACAAACGCGAACCTCTAGTTTCTTTCTGTTTCCGACTCATACATGTAATCATAAATTCTAACCAAGTAAATGGTCGTCTACATTTGAAGTAGAGATGAGGGTGATAATCGTCTTTAGGTAGGCTGTTCAAGTTGATTTAGAGAGGGGCGTTGTCATTCAAGTCGAATCTATCTTGTTGGTGTTGTAAGGGGGGGTTGTTGTCTTGCGTCTCGCGTCTTGCGCCAAATGTAATTTGATATGTTTACTTTGATGGCATGCGCGCTTCCAACATTAATAAGCGCTATTTATAGATACAGTGTATTTCCTGTGTGCAATACGTCCGTATTGACATACGTCTAGTTTTATGGAACGCCAAAAGTGGACAACAATATTTTCCCATTTTCTGTTATTAGAATTTATGATTTTAGAAATTCCAACACCGGTTTAAAAAAATAGGCGTTTGGACCGGAGATTCATACCGGTGCTTTCACATTTGACGAACCATTCATTAATTGACTCGATTTAAAAGATTTCATTGCAAATTGGTTACAAAAGGAGGTTCTGTGTATGTCCAAGGGTTCCAGACCTTTTCATCCGCTTTCCAACAAACTATAGTTTGTCTAAATCCATCCATGTTATTAAGGTACCTTTAGACCGCAATACATGAGAGCCATGTCGGCTGGCGCTGACAGGCCTTGCTATGGGACTTACAGCACAAAAACAAAACTAGTGGCATCATGTACCTACATCTGTACTCACTCTAAAAGTTTAAGTCTGAAGCCTTGCCGATTTGCCAGCGTGTTGGCCTATTTATCCGCTATCCAACAAGCTATAGTTTGGCCAAATCCATTAATGTTAAGGTACCTTTAGACCGCGATACATGACAGCCTTGTCGGCTGGCGCTGACAGGCCTTGTTATGGGACTTACTTCACAAAAACGAAACTAGTGGCATCATGTACCTACATCTGACGCTCACTCCAAAAGTTTCAAGTCTGAATCCTTGCCGATTTGCCAGCTTGTTGGCCTATTCATCCGCTTTCCAACAAGCTATAGTTTGTTCAAATCCATCCATGTTAAGGTACCTTTAGACCGCGATACATGAGAGCCATGTCGGCTGGCGCTGACAGGCCTTGCTATAGGACTTACTGCACAAAAACGAAACTAGTGGCATCATGTACCTACATCTGAGGCTCACTCCAAAAGTTTCAAGTCTGAAGCCTTGCCGATTTGCCAGCTTGTTGGCCTATTCATCCGCTTTCCAACAAGCTATAGTAGTTTGGCCAAATCCATTCATGTTAAGGTACCTTTAGACCGCGATACATGAGAGCCATGTCGGCTGGCGCTGACAGGCCTTGCTATGGGACTTACTTCACAAAAACGAAACTAGTGGCATCATGTACCTACATCTGAGGCTCACTCCAAAAGTTTCAAGTCTGAAGCCTTGCCGATTTGCCAGCTTGTTGGCCTATTCATCCGCTTTCCAACAAGCTATAGTTTGTTCAAATCCATCCATGTTAAGGTACCTTTAGACCGCGATACATGAGAGCCATGTCGGCTGGCGCTGACAGGCCTTGCTATGGGACTTACTTCACAAAAACGAAACTAGTGGCATCATGTACCTACATCTGAGGCCCACTCCAAAAGTTTCAAGTCTG